TCCAAAAAATTCCCTAAAAAAATCCCCCCAAAGCCAAAAAAAACCCAAAAAAATCCCCAAAATTTCCTAAAAAATTCCCAAAATTCCTGAAAAAAAAGCTCCAGAAAATTCCATTAAAAACCCCCCAAGAAATACTCAAAAAATCCCCAAAAAACCAAAAAACCCCTAAAAAAATCCCCAAAAATTCCCCCAAAATTCCCAAAATTCCAAAGCTTTGAAGACACAAAAAAATTCCACCTGGGAAAGGCCAAAATTCCCCCAAAATCGCCCCAAAATTCCCAAAAATTCCCATTAATTCCCAAAAAATCCACCCCAAAATCCCCAAATATTCCCAAAAATCCCCAAAATCCCCAAATATTCCCAAAAATACCCAAAAATCCCAAAAATCCACACAAATATTCCCAAAATTCCCCAAAATTCTCCAAAATCCACCCAAATATTCCCAAAAATCCCCAAAATTCCCCAAAATCCACCCAAATATTCCCAAAAATCCCCAAAATTCCCAAAAATCCACCCAAATATACCCAAAAATCCCAAAAATCCACACAAATATTCCCAAAATTCCCCAAAAATCCACCCCAAAATCCCCAAATATTCCCAAAAATTCCCAAAATCCACCCAAATATTCCCAAAATTCCCCAAAATCCACCCAAATATTCCCAAAAATCCCCAAAATTCCCCAAAATCCACCCAAAAATTCCCAGAATTCCCGGAATTCCCGAATTTTTTGGTCTCTTCCAGGCCTGCAATTACCCCCTGGAGCTCTACGAGGTAAAACTGGGGGAAAATTGGGAAAATTTGGGATAAAATTGGGGGAAAAAATTGGGAAAAAAGGAAAAAAAATTGGGGGGAAATGGGAAAAAGATGGGGGGAAAAATTTGGGAAAAATTGGGAAAAAATTTGGGAAAAATTGGGAAAAAAATTGGGGGAAAAAATGGGAAAATTGGAAAAAAAGGGGAAAAAATGGGGGGGAAAAATGGGGAAAAATTGGGGGGGGGAAAAGGGAAAAAATGGGGAAAATTTGGGAAAAAATTGGGGGAAAAATGGGGGAAAAAAAGGGAGAAATGGCCAAAAAAATGGGAAAAATTGGGGGAAAAATGGGAAAAGAATTGGGAGAAAATTTGGGAAAACTTGGGAGGGAAAAAATTGGGGAAAAATGGGAAAAATTTGGGAAAAAATTGGAGAGAAAAAAAGAGAAAAGTGGTGAAAAAAATGGGAAAAATTAGGGAGAAAAATGGGAAAAATTTGGGGGAAAAATTGGGAAAAAATATTGGGAAAAATGGGAAAATTAGGGAAAAAAATGGGAAAAATTAGAAGGAAAAAAAGGAAAAAATTGGGGTAAAATTGGGGAGAAAAATGGGAAAATTGGGGGGAAAAGTGGGAAAAAAAGGGAAAAATTTGGGATAAAAAAGGGGAAAAATGGGAAAAGAAAAAAGGGAAAAGGGGAGAAATTGGGGGAAAAATTGGGAAAAAAAAGAGGGGAAAAAGCCAAAAAAATTGGGAAGAATTGGGGAAAAAATGGGGAAAAAATGGGAAAAAATAAAAAAAAAATTGGGAAAAATTGGGGAAAAGATTGGGAAAAAATGGGAAAAATTGGGGGAAAAAAGGAGGAAAAAAAGCCCAAAAATTGGGAAAAAAAAGGTAAAAAATTGGGAAAAATTGGGGAAAGTTGGGAAAAGGGAAAAAAAATGGGAAAAATTTGGGGAAAAAAGGGAAAAGGAGGGAAATGAGGGGAAATTTTGGGAAAAAATTGGGAAAAAAGGAGGAAAAAAAGCCCAAAAAAATTGGGAAAAATTGGGAAAAATGGGGGGAAAATTGGGGAAAAAATTGGGAGGAATTGGGGAAAAAATGGGGAAAAAAAATGGGAAAAATTGGGGGGAAAAGGAGGGAAAAAAGCCCCAAAAAATTGGGAAAAATTGGGAAAAAATGGGGAAAAAATTGGGGAAAAAATGGGAAAAATTGGGAGGAATTGGGGAAAAAATGGGAAAAAAATGGGAAAAAAATGGGAAAAATTGGGGGAAAAAGGAGGGAAAAAAGCCAAAAAAAATTGGGAAAAATTGGGAAAAAATGGGGGAAAATTTGGGGAAAATTGGGGAAAAAATGGGGGAAAAAACAGGAAAAATTGGGGGAAAAAGGAGGAAAAAAAGACAAAAAAACCTGGGAAAAATTGGGAAAAAATGGGGAAAAAATTGGGGAAAATTGGGGAAAAAATTGGGAAGAATTGGGGAAAAAATGGGGAAAAAAAAAGGGAAAAATTGGGGGAAAAAGGAGGAAAAAAAGCCAAAAAAATCTGGGAAAAATTGGGAAAAAATGGGGAAAAAATTGGGGAAAAAATGGGAAAAATTGGGAGGAATTGGGGAAAAAATGGGAAAAAAATGGGAAAAAAATGGGAAAAATTGGGGGAAAAAGGAGGGAAAAAAGCCAAAAAAAATTGGGAAAAATTGGGAAAAAATGGGGGAAAATTTGGGGAAAATTGGGGAAAAAATGGGGGAAAAAACAGGAAAAATTGGGGGAAAAAGGAGGAAAAAAAGACAAAAAAACCTGGGAAA